GTGGGGAAAGTAAAGGACATCTGTAATACTTTCAGCAATAAAGATAAATTTAAAGAAGTAAAAATATGTATCAGAAAAAAAAGAAGGAAAAATGTTCACATCTTTTTAAGCCAAATATATTTTCAATGTAAGAAGAAATGAGTCATTGATATGACATTCATTCCTCAACATTAAAGAACATTGTATTAATGCAGTTGTGTTTCCCTGCTGAGTGCCAATATTTTTATAATGAATAACTTCAAAAAATATATGTATTCTGTTATAATTTTGTGAGAGAAACAGGGTTATTTTTTATTTGTCATCTTAAACCAGTCTGCTGGCTAACTGGAAAATTTTAAAATATACACACCAAATTTAGGGAAATAAAAGACTTTATTTTTCCCAATAACATTTATTTTATGTTCTGAATCATTTCTTTTAGTCATGAATATTATTTTGTATCACCAGGCTTGTTGTCTTCATTTGGCTCACTTTTTGCACATACATAAATCAAAACTGAAAACAACGCAAAAAAAACAAAAACCAAAAAACTAGCAGGAGAACCAATACAGATGCAAGCAGGAAGGCTATTATCTCTAAGGCCAATTCATCTACTGATTTCTGTTATCAGGATCTCTGACCTTTTTTCAAATTTTTATTGAGTGAATATAGAAATTGAATTATGCAATAAGGCCTATCTTTGGTTATTTAAATTCTGTCTTAGCCAATTCTTGTAGAACTAAAGAATAAAATCTACTCTAATTTTGCAGCAAGGCACAAAAGAAATACTACAGGCCATGTTCTTCCAGCATCTCCACAATTGTACACCCATATGAAGAAAACAGCTAAAAAAGTTTATTTTATTTATTCAATTAAATTAATTATTTCTTCTATTTTCAGAAACAATTTATAATAATTTATAGCAATATAATTTAGTTTTTATCTTTTAAAAATAGATTTTCTCATTAATCCAATGTTTCCATAACTTTACTCAAACTCATTAAAACAGCAAATTAATTTTTCACTAGATTTTCAGCCTAACTTTGAATGATCACATTTTGCAAGAAATGTCATTATTGTAGTGTATTAAGAACTTGTTAAACAACTCTTTAAAAATTCAGGATTTTTATTTTGTATCATTTCTATATTTGTTAAATGCATACATATCACCTTCATTATTCAAATATAAAACCATATGTTATGTGGAAATTTACAGAAAAATTTTCTAAGTCTTTTTTCTAATATAGCCAATTCTTTATATTCATGATAAAGAGGGGAATGAGGAAATCAATAATGGATTACAGAGAAATTATTTTTATTTGGCTAAGAGGACTATAAGATATGATTCTGCAAACATATTTCAATGCCTTATTGAGTTACTGGTCTTGGTTGGAATCAGTGCATCAGCTTTGCCTTTCATATCATCCTACTTGCACCATTCGCTGCTATTTCCACTGCTCTCTGCTTCAAGTCTTCTGTCAGTCAAGCCAGTCACATTGTTCCTAGAATATGCTCATCTGGTTTCTCTGTGACTGCTCATGTG